AATTTAATTGTGCATGCACCCTGTATAAAATGCCTTCACATCTCGACGAACTTCAAAGTTACAGTAAACATCGGTACATATTAAAATTTGCACAAATAGCGTTGTCGAATGATACTTTTTCAAATACCTCGCGCCCTGTATAATTGATGAAACCTGAAACTCTCACGACACGGTTTAAGATACTGTTCAAATAAAATTATCTTATCTTTAACGGTTTTTCATTTATCGCCAATAATTTACTCACAAAAACGGAAATTTTTAGGATATTTTAGATTTTTTGTCCATAAACGGTATACCCTGTATATGATTGTTCGAAGTACAGGTTATAACCCTGGATTTTCCACGCGTCCTGATTCAAGAATTTTTTGAAAATAGTAAATGGTTTTCGAGAAAATATGTTTTTTGTGAAACCGTAATAATCAATGACGTCATCGCGTCTTCACAGCCCTCGAAATAACGATTTCAATATGGATTTTTTCAAATATCCCGAGCAGCGTATGAGTATGTGTTGTAGCTCTTGATGCGGCCTATGACACCGTTTGAACCAATTAGCCATATTTTTTACGATTTTTCATTTGCGTCTCATAATTTACTCTGTAAAACAACAATTATCTAGGTCTCTTAGATTTTTGCCTATAATTTGAAAAAAACGAAAAAATGTCCGAAATAAATGGTATTGCACCGGATCTTCTGCGTCTCCTGGTTAAAGAATTTTGCCAATCGGATGAACGATTATGGAAGAAAATATATTTTTCTGGAAGCTAAAATTATCAAAAAAAAAAAATTCAAACATTTGTAAAAAATACTTCGTAAACTTTGATTGCGCCCAATTTCTACCGTTTAAATGTGGACATGGCACTTTTACTTCTCTTCTAAATTTGAAGTTGATATCTGCAAATTTAGGACAATTAACACATTTCTCATTTAGCACGGAATATGGGGGACGCCCTGTATAATAGGGGAAAACCTTAAACACAAAAGTTTTTGCCGTCTATGCGGGCTATATCGCAATATAAAAGAAAGTGAGATCTGAATCGTAGTCTATCAGTTATTAATTATTAATTTTCAATAATAGGGGGGCCCGTTTTTCAGTTTTTTTTTAATTTGCAGCTCATCCTGTATATTTTTGAAAAATTATCAAGAATAAAAGTTTATAGAACCGTATGTTCTGCTTCTTCTGGTTCCAGAATTTTTTTGGTTTCGTAAACAGTTTTTGAAAAATGTAGACTCTTTTTTTCGACGATGGTCATTGTACCAACGGCGATCCCGTAGGACTTACCATTACCGAGATATAAATTTTTTATACGAACGCAGATACTTTCGAAAAATTCGATTTCATCGATTTTCGAAAGTAACAAGAGACATTACCATTACCAAAGTCAACTGTAAAATAGTCATGAGGAAAGAGTCGTTGCGTATTTTTTTGAAGAAAATGGATTTTCAGTTTCAAACAATCAATAAAGTCAAGTGCTAATGGAATCTCAAAAAAAATCGAAATGGAGCGTGGGTTATTTAAATGCAATTGATAAATTTGGAGAGCAAAATAGGCCAATTGCAAAATTCGTATTATTCAAGACAAATTAGAACAATTCCAAATACTTCTTGGAATAAAGAAGAAATTAAAGAATTTCTGTACGAAAATGATTTATATTTTGAAGAGAGCTGCACGAAAAAACATCATCTGGAAATATTAAAAATAAAACATTTTAATAAAGACTACAGAATCGATTCGATAGCACTACAAAAATCATGAGATTACCCCCGTATCATTCTATATTTAATCCGATTGAGATGATTTGGTCTGAGTTGAAAGCGCGGATAAGAACAAATAACACTGCTCCAAAATTTGGTGATAGTACCATAAATGTAATTCGTGAAGAGGTAGCTAAAATATCAGTACAGGCTGGTCTAAATGTCAAAAACGAGTAATAAAAGAAGAAAATATTTATTGAGAACGATTAGTGGCGAAGTTGATCATTGAACTAGGTGACGATAGTAGCGATAGTGACTGACACTTTCCTATTTATTATATTTAATATTATGTAAATTAATAATAAACAGAAGGTAATAAATTATTAACTTCTACTAACTTTTGTATGTACTTGTTTCAAGAATTGCTCGGCGCAAAAAATTGAAAATATACTTATATCCCTCTTGTTAGTATAGGTAGATAAATTCCTAGGACGGTCCTGGAATCGCTACGGGTAAGGATCCGCTAGGTAGGAGCTATAAGGGGCTGCGGTTGTGGAGTAATAAATAGTGGGCAAAAGTTAATCACGGGGCCAGTTGTAAAAGCACTATATTTCTGGTCGACGTATAACTTTCTCTGACCTCTATTCGAATTCAATTTTACGTTCGGATTCCGAGTTTGCTTGGCAAAATGACATTGGTTTATAGCGGGAGTTGATGTAATAAGAGAAACGCACAAACGACTTGAAAAATATCAAGTTCGTCTCTCGCAGGCTTGCCGGAGCGAACCCTAATATTGAGTTGTCGCTTATTCTCGGTCGATGGAAATTTGCGATATAGGCACATTTCATAAGAACAAGATAAATGATTAAGTTCGCCTTAATGCCCCAACTTCCCGCTTGTGTTTGTTTCATGCAAATTACTCGGGTAATTAGAGACGGGCAGAATCGCAATAAGAGGATTTGCCGCGACGAATGCAGAATTAAATGTTTGCTACGGTCTAATTGTTACGCTTCCGGTTTATACGGGGTATCGCTTTTTTTCGGACTTCCCTTAGTTTAACGTCCAACCTGCCGCCAGGGTGATAATGAAGTACTTATACGAACTTTAAAATGTGAATCTTAGACTAATTTTAGGATTAAAAGTTCGTACGAATGTGGGTCCGCAACTACCAATTTATCTTGACCAAGTTGACTTCGGCAGCTCGCAACATATTAGGCCTATTTTTTTTAACGCCACTTTTAGTATCTCCGCATCCTTTTACTATTATTCTGAAGATTTGAGCTCCTGTAACATATAAAATATGGTGGTTTTTCAAAAATGGACATTTTTCTTTTTCACCATGTATCTAAATAAATAAAACAAAGTTAGTTTTTTTTTGGGCATATACATACACTACTTTTCTTCCATTTAAGCGACGCTGTATCTCTTACAGCTTTCAAAATCCCCATGTTATACTGGACGCCCTGTATAATTAACTACTAAAGCGCGTGGCACTTTTAACAAAAAAATAAGTAAATATTTCAGTTTGTCGTCATTAATATACTCCTGATCTCCAATTTTGTTTAACTGACATGTTATTGAACAAAAATATAATCAAAAGGGCAAATGAAATAGTTTTTGGGGCGCCCTGTATTTCAGACCACAGATGCAAGCAAGTGCTCCAAGTATAAGTGAAAGTTTGGAAATGTTTAATATAAACACGATTAGGTTTTAGGTATAAAAAAGCATAGACGAATCAGAAATTTAATTCGATGTATTCATTCCACAAAATCACATCTTTTTATCCTAATAGCAATATGGTTAACAAAATTGCTTTCGAAAAGCCGTTGCTGTATTTTATTCTATTTTGTAATTTATATTGTATTTAGAGAGACGCATTGTTTTTCTCCTGCGGATCACATTCGCAAAATTGATGTAATTTTATTGTGCATGCACCCTGTATAAAGTGTCTGTCACGTCTCGCCGAACTTCAAAGTTACGTTAAACTTTTGTACAAGTAATGGTGATTTCCAATGATATTTTCCAAGTATCTCGCGCACCCCGTACGATAGATGAAACTTGAAACTCTCTCTCCACACAATTTGCGATAATTTTTGGACCATCCCTCGTTTTATGGGTCTTCATTAACGGCTAATAATTTACCCACGACACAAGACACACCCTGTATATAATGGAAAAAATGACAGAAATAGAGGTTATAGCCCCGGATCTCTCACGTTTCACTTTTTCTACAAGAAATCAAAAGCGAATTACAATATAAAAACTGAGGGCTGATAATAGCCATTAAAAACAAGTCATCTGTTCCAGTGGCTAGGTTCTGGCAATAGTCTACGCAGGAAACCTCTCCTTTTTCCATTTTTTTTACAAATATAATCCACATGTTGTGAGAAATTTAATTAAGAATCTAGAGCTACTCCCATATACTTCTTAAACTTATTATCCAAAAATACATTACAATTTTGTTTACTCCCATATACCATATATGCTGTTTTATTTAAATTTAAATTGAGTTTATTTACGCACAACCAGTCACTAAGTAACCTTAATTCCGAGCTCTTATTGTTTACCACTTATATGTAATTTTTCCCAGCAAAGCGTCATCCGCGAAAAGTTTGACCAAACAATTTTTTAAAATTTTGTCTAAATAGAATAAAAAGCAAAGGTACCAATAAACTGCCCTGGGGGTTCAGGTACAATAAAGCTTGTCTTGATCTCTTCGGGAATTTTTCCTGTCTTAAGTAAAGTATTTATTAAATTGCACAAAAAGTATTTTTCAAAAAGTTTACATCACATAGGTTATCAGCTGTTGATTTAGTTTTCAATTTCATTACAATAATTTTTAGTTCATTTATATTCAGCGTTTGAAAGCGTGTAAAAGTTGTTAACATTTTGTTCAATATTACCCAAATCATCTTCAAATTTAAGATCCTCAAAGTTGCCTGCATTTCTGCGTTTGCTACTTATTAATCCTTTTAACGTTCGCCACATTTTCTTGCTGTTGCCCTTACACCGATTAATGCTTCTTTCTTAATATTTCGACTTCTCATTTCTTAAAACCCTCACAAATGCATTCCTTTTGGTCTGATAATTACGCCAATCGGTCTGATTCATTGAATGAGGTTTCAGTCGGACGTCCGAGTCGGGGACCCATGTATGTTTGTACAAGTACAAAACTAACGCCCTGTATAAGAAAAACTTTACACGAAACGCGCTTGCAAAGTCATTTTATTTTCCCTTTGATTAAGTTTCGTTCCTATGCCGTCTAAATATGATTATATTTTTAGGAGTTATATTAAAAGATTGCTTACCATGTTGCAGTGTTGCCATGTGGGTCAGGGTTGTTGTTGCCTCCCTTGGCGACGTCGTTACCGCCTGCTGCACAGCTGACTGTCATCTATCGATCAGCTCCCGGTTCACGTCGAGTCTCCTGTGAAAATTCGGGCGAAAATTAGATGAGAGTCGAATTCGTTGCTTTCACTCAATAGGGACGATTAGTAGTAGCCAATAATAATAATAATAATAATGGGACGTTTTCCTACTATCGAAACAGTTACAGGTACGGGGTGTCCCGTTATAAATTACTAAACGGATGACTGTTTTTTTTTTCAAAGAAACTTCCACGGGCATTTTTCCGCAATCAAAAATATAAATTAAAAATTGTATCTGTCATATTTTGACATGTTGACATTATTACGTCATCGACCACAATCTCAACTTCTTCGTCGCCGGACATCGCACGTGAACAACAAAAATTGAACAACGTTAGTGTTTGGTAAGAAATAAATTGTAATAAAATTTACAGCACCTCAATATAAATGGCACACTGAGTCTTAAAAAACAATTGAATAACAGTAAGTTGGTAATTGGAAACCAGTTTGAGCATCCCAATGTGTTTTTAATATAGAAGCTCAACCTATGTAATGGTCAGATTCATCTTCAAATCGAGCTACCTCGATTTGGGGACTGTTTTATGAAGATTTATTATGGATTAATATAACTGTTCAACCAAAGAAAAATTCCCTGCTCTTAAAATACAACAGTCCGCACGGCACAGTTCTTGTCGGCTAACATATTAAAGACGGCCCTGGTTTGTGGTACACTTCTGCTTTGCAATCGGCGGGTCTTAAACTCATTCCGCACTCAAACCCATACAAGGTTGTAAAAACGGTTTATCGGTTATCAAAATATGCAATAAATGCAGTACTTGAATATGATGGAGATGTATGTATTGCACTTTCACCCATTTCATCCATTGAACAGATAGATAGGTAGATTTTTATTTGACTGAATTACAATACATTGTAGGTCTACGTCTCTTTTTTTAGTATTAGAACTCTACGAATCAATAGAAATTCAAAAAAAAACAAAAATCCATAAACTTTAAAACCGACACAAAAAGCCTTAGTAAAATTTACTATACAATTCTGATTTAAATATATAATATAATCTAAAAACTAAATTAATAAATAGGGGTAGCTGGTATAAAATTAAATCTAAGATAAAAAATGAAGTAAATAAATAACATCGCCGGGGAAAAAAACGTACTTTCGTAGTTCTGCTTCGCATGCCAATTGATATCTCAGTCTGCACGATAAATTCGCAGACACGCGCATGCAAATTTTTACTGTCAATATTTACACCGTTTATACTTCGGTTTTACAATTTTATATCTACAGTTTTATTTCTACAATTTTAAATCGTGCCGTCGTGTGTTGTATCTAAATGTTTTTGTATCTACATCGATTTTAAAATTAGGGTAAGTTTTATTGTTCTCGCTCTCGTTGCCTTGTATAATATATATATATATATATATATATATATATATATATATATATATATATATATATATATATATATATATATATATATATATATATATATATATATCCGAAGTGTTTTCGGAGCGCGAGCATTGAAGATGCCAAGTGAGATTTTGGCGAAACGTCTGCAGGATTCCAGTCGGATGCAGGATTTGCAGGATTCCAGTCGGATGCAGGATTCCAGTCGGATGCAGGATTCCAGTCGGAGTTCAACGAGCGAACGGATGATAACAGTGGCCACCATCAAGAACCGGGTAACAGGTAATATCTTTTATCTTCTGTATTCCTCTACAGAGTAAAAACAATGTTCCAAAATTATTTTAGTTTTAAAATTTTTAAATATCAAGTTTGTGACTTTATGTGTAATAAGGTTGTATAAACTTAGGCCAAGAGAATCTTTCATGCTTTTAGTGTATTTAAACTTCCTAGTTCGCAGAAAATTTGATAACATATTTTTTGAGTTATGAATTTCTAATACATCGAATTTCTAATACATCGGATAGTAGTTCGAGATTAGATAAAAAGTTGACACTTGAGAGGCGCTTCACTAAATATGCAATATAGTCCACACCCAACAACTTCACATACCTTCTTTCCGATTTTTCCGAATATTTTCATTTGTTGAATACACTAACGAGGGAGTTTTATCCTCAATTAATTTTAGGTGATTTGCTGTAAACCACATATTGGCATGTTCTTTCGCCAACTGTGTTTTGTTTGATATTTTAAATGTAGTCATCTGTAAAATTAACCGCAGCTTCATATGGCCAAAGAGATCATTAATATAAACTAAAAACAATGAAGGTCCCATAATGGAACCCTGTGGCACTCCGTGCATTACATTTTGGAAACTTGACATTTTGTTATTCCTGTAGTAAAGAATATGTTGAGTCAGAGGATAAATCTTTCGTAAAATTATACTTACATGTTCTACACCTCTCGGTGTTAATTAATTAAATAATTAATTAATAAATAAGTAAATAGTTCTTATAAGCCAGTTTTCTGCTATTTTTAATTTCATTTTGATACTCCCTTTTGTGTTTTTGATGTATTGAAAAGTTGTCTGGATTCTTTGTAATTTCCGCTATATTACGAATGTTAATGAATGATAATTTGTCTCGCATGACTCTGAGACCGTTGTTGAACCAGTCAACTGGAGATCTAGGTTTGAATGTCTTGAATATCTAATCAAACTAAAACACAACAAGGCCTGTTCCCCGATATTGTTCACCAAGGCAAATGCCAAGTCATTAATGTTGGTGCCAATTGTATTATAAATGAATGTAATTGATAATTGAAGATACCTATTAATTTTTTCAATTTTTTTATAGAGTGCTTTCGACACTCTATTTTATTATTCGAGAATTTCAAATCATGATTACTAGAGTCAATATGAATAGTCTGGGCACTATGATTCCACAAACAAGGAGCGTAAAACCGATATTTGTCTATGTTGGTAATAATATTATCTAAGCAGTTAGCGCTGCCATTGGCCACTCTGCTGAATTCCCGAATAGAAGGCTCCAATCCGAACTGGCGAATTAGCTGGAAATATTAAAATTAATATTAAAATCACCTAAAACAACCATCTGTACTCCTAAATAAATAAGAACTAAAAGTTCAGATTTTCATGAAATTATATATATGACAATTGTTTCGACTACACAGTGTCTTTATCAAATGTAATATTTACAAACTACCTGCTACTATATATACCGAAAAATGACAATAAAACCTTAATTAATGTTGTTGTGAGGATTTAAGTTTAATAATGAAGAGGTATTTAAAACTAACTTGTCATTAAGCAATACATTTGAATGCCTCATTTTGTTTATCTCCATGGCTTCTAATAAATTCAATTTTCTACTTTTTGTGGCTGTATGTCGTCAAAAATGTGTTTTTCTGTGTTTAACTATGTAACATAATTAGAATCTAGACTATTTTTTTTAAACGCTCTTTTGTGTTCGTTAATTTATATAAATTGTCTCATAGACTCAATCCCATAGAATTTGACACATTTGATTATAAAGTTCGAACAGACATTTCATTTATCATTCATAAAAAGTTTCTTAGACACAAAACAAAAAATGTGTTTTTGAGGGTGTGTACCATTTACCATAAGCCTTCACACACGAACACAGTCATACATAACAGCTCAAATCACCCTTATATAGACAAAATGGCTGCATTTCACACTTTTATACACAGACTTGTTAATAAGCCAACCTCAACAGAAAATTACAACAAAGAACTTAATATCATTAAACAAATTGCACTGAACAACGGCTACAATCCGTCCATTATCGATAAAATAAAAAACAAATCCAGACAACAGTAATCCGAAACCTAATACAGAACACGAATAATTTCAACCATTACATACATAGGAGAACTCAGTGAAAAAGTTTCAAAACATTTGTCAAAATGTGGTTTAAAAATAGTTTTCAGAACTAACGACACAATAGGAAAATGTTTAAAAAACGATAAAACGAAATGTCCAAAATCTCAAAAAACAGGTGTCTATAGGTTGAAATGCGGATCTTGTCCTAAAATTTATATTGGACAAACAGGTAGATCCTTCAAGAAACGCGTTCACGAACATATAAGAGCGTTTAAAAACAATAGTCTAGATTCTAATTATGCTACACACTTAAACACAGAAAAACACATTTTTGACGAAAATTTTGATATTTTACATACAGCCACAAAAAGCAGTAAATTAAATTTATTGGAAGCCATGGAGATAAACAAAATGAGACATTCAAATGTATTGCTCAAAGATCAATCAGATTTAAATACCTCTCCATCCTCACAACCACATTACAACATTAATTAAGGTTTTATTGTCATTTCTCGGTATATATAGTAGCAGGTAGTTTGTGAATATTACATTTGATAAAGACACTTTTAGTTTTTATTTATTTTGTGAAATGGATTTTCATCAATTAAAAGCCACCTCAGTTCAACATCTGTACACCTGTCATTATAGGATTAATTTTCTTGTAGTGTCTTCGAATTACGATTCTCTGTACTTCAAAAGTAACAAAAAAATTACGAAAAGGAACCCGTCCTCCGATGGAACATTACAAACAATACGTTTGACGCAAGCGGCGAATCAAAAACCATTTTATCGATCAACGCTAGGGGGGAGCGTTGCCGATCCAACGGAAAAAGCAATCCATTAAAACGGATAAATTTGTTTATGTTCCACCTACCATGGCCCAATTATATTTGACCCGTTTTCTTTGATCATGGGGCAAATGGGGCGGGCAAGCGGAAACGAGCGGCAATGCTAAGATAAACTGACAAATGGAATTGGCACGAAAACAACGTTGAGATTTTAGGTGCCATAAATCTGTGATAAACTAACCAAAGAGAGTAAAAAAGTGGAAATTTTATAAACTGATAATAAAATCTGACCGGCTTTCGTCTCTAAGCAGAATGAGAACACCATTGACCGGGAGCTTTTGCAGCAGGATTTTGAACGTTAGCGTATTTGGTTCCAGAAGAACAAGCTGGAGTTTAAGGTAGAGAGACCTGGGAGTTATTATCCATTTGTTTATTATCAGAAACTGCCAAAATCTTTGCATTTATATATCAGCAAAAC